CACCTCGCCCCGAGACCTTTCACCTGGCTCCGAGCTGGCCACGTGCCTCGTGGGATGCACCCACACAGGGACCCTGGTGGTGCAGTGGTTAAGAATCCGCCTGCCAATGCAGGGGACATGGGTTCGAGCCCTGGTCCGGGAAGATCCCACATGCCGCGGAGCAACTAAGCCCGTGCACCACAATTACTGAGCCTGTGCTCTAGAGCCTGCGAGCCACAGCTACTGAGCTCACGAGCCACAACTACTGAGCCCGCGTGCCACAACTACTGAAGCCTGTGCTCCGCAACAAGAGAAGCCACCGCAATGAGAAGCCCGTGCACCGCAAAGAAGAGTAGCCCCCGCTTGCCACAACTAGGCCCCGTCTCCGGGGCCCTCATTCCTCACCAGGAGGCTCCTGTCTGGGCAGGGGTCCCTCTCCCATGAACCGCCTGCTCCGTAGTTTTCACCTTTTATCACCACTCTGCCCTGCTCCTCCAGGGAAAGCTGGGTGTAGTTCTGAGATGTTAGGCTGTGCCCTCTGCCTCATTCCTTCCAATCGGCCTGGTCAACTCCTATGCAGCCTTGAAAACCCATTCAGTCAACCCCACGGGGACTGTCTGCCCAGGTTCACAGTCACATTGTACTGTGGCCTGTTCACAGAGTTTCCTCCCCTGATTTTGTTTCTTCCCTCCTAAGCTTAGACTCCAACGGCAGGTGTCGCAGCCCCTGTGCCAGGGACCCCTTGGTAGTGGCTGTGTTGAGGCCCCAGGGTTCGGGGGGTGGGGCCAAGTGGACTGCTTGAGGAGCTGACGTCACGGGTCCTGAGGATGCCGGGGGGGGGTCATCTCGCTGCAGGTGTTTCTTCCCCTCCCCCCAGAAGATCAAAAGTCTTGAAGACTGTCTGACTCGTGTCTTGCATTCATGTGAATAAATAAAATGAATTCTTCTCCCAGGAAGTCCAACTTCCCACCTTCAGACGCACCTGTCCAAGCACGCAGCTGTCACCGTGTCTCTGAGCCTCATACTCCGCGCCAGAACACATCCTGTGCTCTAGCCGTCTGTGGCTCTCCTCTCGTGGCTGGGCGTCTCTCCCGCTGTGGACAGCCGCACCCCGACTGTCCCCTCTGTCCTTCCACACTCCCCACAGCTGACCTCGCCCTGACCTCAGGCTCCAGAGCAGCCCCTGGGCACCTCGAGCTGACCAAGCTACTAGGGGCTGAACTATGCCCCTGAAGTCCTGGCCCCAGCGCCTCAGAATGTGACCGTTTGGAGACAGGACCTTTAAAGAGGTGATGAGGACAAACTGAGGTCATCGGGTGAGCCCTGTATGACTGGTGTCCTTACAGAAGAGAGAATTAGGACATAGGCACAGAGGGAAGACGCGGGAGGAAGACGGCCGTCTGTGAAGCGAGGAGAAAGGCCTCAGAAGAATCCAACCCTGCTGACGCCTTGATGGTGGACGTCCAGCCCCCAGAACGGTGAGAAAATTAACTTCTGTGGTTGAAGGCTCCCAGCCTGTGGGACTCTGTTATGGCAGCCTCAGGGGAGTCATACAACGTCCAGAGCTGAATCCGTCTCCAAATCCAGATGGAACCACATGGCAGGGACAGCATCGCGTGAGGGCCGAGGCAGGAATCCAAAGTCAACCACGCTCCGCTCCACGTGACACGTCATCTGGCCACCAAGTGCCGTGACCCCAGCCCCTCCCTCCCCCACCTCACTGCTCCGAGTGAAGCCTATTCACCACCTTGGTCACTACAGCTGCCTCTGTCCCTTCAGTGCCTGTGCGTGGAGACCTGCCCACCCCGAAAGCTCCCCTCCTGCAAACACCAAGCCATCCTTTGAGGCTAGGTCTTCCCAGCTCAGCACTATTGACATTTGGGGGAGGGACCATTCTTGTGGTGGGGACCTGTCCTGTGCTTTGTAGGGTGTAGAGCAGCGCCCCTGGTCTCCACCTACCACGTGCCCCAGTGTGACAACCTAAAACATCTTGCGGCTTCACCGCAGGCTGAGAACCACTGTCCTGAGGAGAGGTTCTTCCCAAGTGCAGCACCTGAAGATTTCATACAGGAGGAAGTCAAACTCCTTTGTTCCCCACTGGTTCCCTATAGCGTCCAGAAAAATCCATGGCACGTAGAAATGCTTGATAAATATTTGAGAAAGAAATGCAAAGCCAAGGTCATCCAGCTCTGTAAGCTTTTCTCTAGCTGCCTCTTCCTCCACCTCGAGTTTCAGCTACAAACGACTCAGCATCACCTGAGCATAAGTGTGCCCACATTTCCCACACCTTTTCCTACACCCGCCTCTGCCACCTTCAGCACCCGGCTCCCGGAAGCCTCCCCTGGGCTGGGCCGGGGCCCCCCGTGCCCTCCAGGCTCATCCACACAGTTCTCGTGCAATTCGCCGGAGCTCTAAGGATAGACAGAGCCAGCAGGTTCTCACATCGCAACTGTCCCCGGGGAGGAGGCGGGGAAATGAGACTAGGAAGACTGTTAAAAGCTTCACAAAGGAACAGTTCCACCCGGGAGCCTGTCTTTCACCTTACACGTGCGGAAACCTGTTAACGCGTCCAACAGAAGACAAACTTACCCCTGAGAGGGGTCAGATCTAAAGGCTCTGGTCTCAGGCACCCGGGCACAGCTCAGGTGCGGAGCCAGCCTGAAGCTGGGCACCACGGAGAGGAACCGCCTCCCGCCCCATCCATAGGGTCTCTGAGCGCAGGAATTTTCTCTTTTGCCTGGGCTACGGGCCAGGTGCTCTAGCCTTCCCGCCCATATGGGGCTAATTCCCTGTCGTCTCTGCCCTGCGCCATCAGCAGGAGAACCAGCAACTTCCCCCGGGGGCCCGGTCAGGGGAGGTGGTGGTGCCTGCAGGAAGCCTCCTGGCTTCGGACCTCTGCTGTGGCCATGACCGCAGTCCTACAGCTCCAACTGCAGCCCAGTAACAGCAGCTTTGAGAAAATCCCAGCCCCGCCGGGGAAGCGGTCACTTCACGCTCACGCGTTAGGCAGAGCACCTACTGACGTCAGGTATCTCCCAAGGCAATGCTTTCTCCTTCCATCCTCACCCTGCCAAGGGCTCCCTACTTTGAAAGGAACCCGGGCAAGGCTCTCCCTGGGGACAGAGGGACTTGGCTCCAGCTGGGTCTTGGAGGTGGGGCCCAGCACAGATTTAACAAAGATCCTCCCTGCTTATTTAAAAACTTCGAAAAGGATGGGAGCATGACTCACATCTATTCCAGTTTAGGGCCACGAGAGAAGGAAACGGCAGCTGGGACTTTATCCAGGTGAATCACGCGGCTTGCTCTGCCCACCAGTGACTGACTCACTATCTGGTACGGGACCGCGGCGGGGGCTGGGCGGGGGGTGGGGCTCGGCTCAGGGTGATGCGTCCGACCCTCCCTGGCCTTTCCTCCTTCCCGTTGCCTGGGCTCCTGTGTGATGAGGGGTGGTCGCTCTCCTTGGTGCTTTGAACAAACAGAAGGACTGCTAATATTGATATGTATGAATTCATGAGCCCAGCAAGGGAAAAAGCAGAGAAAGGAAGAGAGGAAAGAGAATGTCGGCTGTTGGTGTCCAGGTAAGATTCCAGCAGGGCAGGCTGGATGGACCCACCCAACATAGACCCAGATCTTTGACGCGGCCCCGGGGAAGGTTTCTCTGACCACCCCACTTTCCTCTTGTTCCTTAACTGCCCCTCCAATCCCAGCCCCCAGAGTCCTAGAGGAACCAGGAGGTTAAAAGGTTCTTAAGTAGAAAGTTAACAGCTCTAGGGGCTTCCCTGGTGCCGCAGTGGTTAAGAATCTGCCTGCCAATGCAGGGGACACGGGTTCGAGCCCTGATCCGGGAAGATCCCACATGCTGAGGAGCAACTAAGCCCGTGCGCCACAACTAGTGAGCCTGCGCTCTAGAGCCCGCGAGCCACAGCTACCGAGCCCACGCGCCGCAACTACTGAAGCCCACGCACCTAGAGCACGTGCTCCACACAAGAGAAGCCACCGCAATGAGAAGCCTCTGCACAGCAAAGAAGAGTAGCCCCCGCTCGCCACAAGAGAAAGCCTGCGCACAGCAACAAAGACCCATCGCAGCCAAAGATAAAAAAAAAAAAGTTAACACCTCTAGCAAGGGAGACTCTGTTCCCTAAAATGGAAGAAAGGGGTGCAGGTAAGGAAGGCCCAGGCCAGGGCCAGAGCTGGGCTTTTTAAGATTAAGACAAACCAGTAAAATAGGCTGAGGGCCTTGTTAAGCGGGGAGTGTCAGACCTCTGCCCTCAGACCTGTGGGGACAGAGGAAGCTGCGGGGCCAGAACCACAGCCTGGGACTGACAGCCCCCATGACACGCACGTGCGGGCCCCGTGGGGGTCACGGGGTGGGGCTGGGCACCATCCTCTCAGCCAACCCCTCCCAGGGGTCCATCAAGGCAGGGCTCACAGACGCTGGGGTCAGTTCCTAGGTTAACGCTAGCATCTCTTCCCCTGAACCCAAGGCAAGGCCTCCAGTGACAGTCCTAGGCAGCCCCAGGACTCACTGGCGCAGACACACATCCTGAGCTATAGGCCGGAAGTGAGCGTCCAAAAGTCAGAGCAGGGAGCCCCAGGCCGAGAGCACGGGACCTCGCGCCCCTTGCCGAAGGGGCCTCTCAAGCCGCCTGGACCCCGGGCTGCGCTGGCAGGGCATCGCCCAGCCCTTGCCTCCTGCCGTGCCCTTGCGCTGCCAACACACTGATCTCTCGGACCACAGACCCTAGAAAAGTAGTTCCTTTCTCTTTGGGGACCCCGTCGAGAATAAAAGCTATAGACCTCCTCGCGTAAGAGGCTCATGGGCACTTTGTAAATTATTTCAGGGGCTCGTCTTTTGGAATCCTGGTTCTTGGACGCCGTGCCTTAACAAGGCGTCGGGTGGAGCCGTGGTAAGATGCTCGCGGACCGGCCTGCGAGTGCACAGGGCCTCGGCCTCCACTGCCCTCGCGGGGACAATCTCCTGGGCCCAGGGACTGAGACGCTCCCCCTTGGCTCCCGGGCAGGCGCACCCGCAGCAGCTCCAGCCGGAGCCCCTAGGCGGCGCGGCTCACCTTTCCTTGAGGCCGGTCCTAACACCCGTGGGGCTCACCCGGGACCACGGGCGCCGCTGCAGGCGGAGGCCACCCTGCGCTACCTTGGAAGGAGGGCGAGGCCGTTGGAAGGTTGGAGACGGCCCACTGCCCGGCGGAATCCCGCATCACAGTTCCGCCCGCCCGGGGCGTGGGAACAGCGGACGGAGGATGCAGAAGTGCGGAGAGACGGCTTAACATCCGGGTCCTCACTCTCGTCCTCGCCATCCCCCCACCCTGTGTCCCTCTTCACGGTCTTCCAAGGCGGCCAGGTCCTCAGGGGGCTCCTATCCTCCCCCCTGGCACCCACACACTGGGCACCGGTGGGGGGGCTGGGGCCTCAGCCGACCATGCAGAGCCCCCTGCTGTCCCCCGGCGCCACCGCGGGGCTGGTGGCTGATGTCCAGCTAAGAAGAACCAGCAAGTAGCACAAGTGCCTGCGTCTGTGTTCCCTGGAAGTTGTCTGTACAAGGGTTCTTATAACTGGGAAGGGCGGTCACCTGCGGTTGGTCTGCCAGCCTGCAAGAAACGGAGGCACAGAGCAACGTGCTGCCCACCACCAGGGAACAGAACTCCTGAACGTGGGGCATTCAAGACGGTGAGACGAGTCCCTTCAAAATCACAGTCCAGAAAAAGGGTGGCTGCTTTATGTCAAAAAATTTAAGACACAAAAATACAACATTTGGTCCTTGATTATATGCTGACTTTGAAAAACTGACTCAAATTTTGTGGCAACTGGGAAAGTTTGATTACTGATTAGGTATTATTTCGGGAAGCATTATTAGTTTCGTTAGTCACAAAAAACAGATTTGTGTGTCATGTGATAGCTATAAGTGAGTTTAAATGGGTCAGCAGAGCAAAAGAAACACAGTAGACTCAGGTATTGAATCCAGGTAGTGGGTATATGGGCATTAATTACACTAGTCTCACCGCTTTCCAGTAGTTTAGAAAACTAATAGTTTAAAAAACATAAAAGCTTGTGACAACCTCCAACTGGATCTAGACTTAACCTACTTTAGACACTGCCCTGTTCAGAATATATAAATACATTTCCTATTCAGTGTTTTAAAAAAGGGCAACTTCATGTGGTACATATACACAAGGGAATACTACTCAGCCGTAAAAAAAGAATGAAATGATGCCATTTGCAGCAACGTGGATGGACCTAGAGGTTATCATACTAAGTGAAGTGAGTCGGAGAGAGAAAGACAAATACCATATGCTGTCACTTACACGTGAAATCTAAAATACGACACAAATGAACTTATCTGCGAAACGGAAACAGACTCACAGACATAGAAAACAAACTCATGGTTACAAAAGGGGAAAGGTGGGGAAGGAATAAATTAGGAGTTTGGGATTAACAGATACACACTACTGTATATAAAACAGATAAACAACAAGGTCCTACTGTATAGCACAGGGAACTACAGTCAACACTCTGTAATGACCTATATGGGAAAAGAATCGGAAAAAGAATAGACAGACGTATGGTTGAATCACTTTGCTGTACAGCAGAAATTAACACAACCTTGCGAATCATCTATACTTCAATAAAAAAAATTTTTTTTAGAAAGGGCATGTTCCCCTCAAAGCCTCTAAGGATGGCAAGGGCGCTACTTGCTGAGGGCAGCGGCTCCGCCCCGAGAAGCCACAGCTCTCCTAACTTGCAGCCTCCCAGACACGCTGTCCTGCTGCCCTCGTGCTGAGCTACAGACACCGCTTCACTATTACCTTTGTGATCAGGAGCCCTGCCTGCCCTCCCTTCATATGCTCACGCGGGCAGCAGGGTAACAGGGCGGCAAAGCTGCCTGTTTCCTAAACGCCACAGCTGCTAGAGTCTCACCCTGGAAGAAAACCCATAAAACTTGCACCAGGTCTTAAGGCCAGGTTCCCTCTGGGACTGTGAACTGACGAGAGGGTGGAGGGGAAACCAATTACTCAAAAGGAAGAGACAGGGTTCCTAGACCTCTGACCCCGTGTTGTCCGTTATCTGAATGGAGCCCTTTCTGTTACCCCGACGGCCGCCCCGCCCCGCCCCGGCCCCTGTGGGAGCCACAGTGAGCGGGTGTGTCCCCGGCATGTGACCGGTGAGGCCCTCGCCCTAGCCTGACTGGCAGGCCCGGGGATGCCTGTCTGCCAGGCTAACAGGCACGAAACACTTTTCATTTCACAAAGGCAAACTTTCGGATAGATTCGACCCTGTGGCACAGGCCAAAGACCTGGGTTCCAGACACGGTGGGATCTGTTAAGTGAAAGACAGCCTCTGAAGCTGAATATGCAGGACTCTCCCATCCCTAGTGTGTTTGTTTTCATGCCTCCAGCTCTGCAGGACCTGCCCCGCTCAGGGAGTCCACAGGCTGCCGCCAATCCCTCCCTTCATTCCCACTTGCCTTGAAAGCCGTGGGACACCAGCCCAGCCGGACGGGTGCCTGCCCTTGACCATAGCCACGGCAGCTCCCATCCCGGGCACCGGGTCTCCATTGTGGATCCGCCATGGCGGGGGCCGCACTCAACCCTCTGGCTGGAGGGTTCAAAGCAGGCACTGGAGATCTCGGACACTGAGAGCTCCTCTGGTCAGCCTTTGCAGCCAAGACAACGGGTGAGTCAGTGACCAGAGGCACCTGGAGCTCCGTGAGGTCCAGGTCAGGGCATCCTCAAAGCAGGGAGGCAGAGATGAGCCACAGTAGAGGCTGGTGTAGGTGGGGAACTCGGTGTCCAGGTCGGGGCATCATGGATGATCTCACTGCCCACCACGAGGGCAGAGTCTGGGTGCTCAGGATGGAGCTGGAAGGGTTCTGCAACTGCTGTAGACACTTGGGGGGCCGGTAAGTAGCAAAGTTCAACCTGGACCTCCTGTCCTGTCAGCAGAAAGCCACTCCCAGCAGCAGGGACTCGGGGCCTGAGCGCCCCAAGAGCGGTCAGGAAACAGGAAACCCTGAAGCCGGTGCCCCGGTCCATCCAAGGCGGGAGTAACACCGTAAGGATGCAGACGGCACATCACCTGCCCAGCCCTCTTGTCCAGACAGGGCCCTTTTCTGTCTAGAAAACTACTGTGACCTAATACAACTGTGTCCACTTCTGTATTTCAAAAACAAGACTTTGAAGCACACTTTACGCTTAAGTGCATATGCTTTACTATATGTGCAGCGAGCGATACGACAAATGTATGGAGCTATAGAACAAGCCGGAAAAGATACAGAAACTCCCGTCCCTCTCTCTCGTGCAGCTTCACCTGTTCAGAGGCAACAAGAGAACGTCCACAGGGGCTTGGAGTCCTGGGGAGACATACGACGCGGAAGGCCGTGCCGTGTGTGTGTGTGTGTGTGTGTGTGTGTGTGTGTGTGATGGGGGAGGTGAGGTAGGGGAGATGAGGGCTGGGGGACAGAGGGCATGTCGTCAGAGCTTGGCCACCCTGCTGCGGTAGAGTGGGGGTGGGGTACCTTGTTGAGCATGCAGATTCCCAGGCCCCGCCTCAGACGGGAACCCAGGAACCTGCAGGTTTAACGAGCGCCCTTGGTGCCCCCTGGACTAGAAAAGCACCAATCTACAGCAGACACACAGTAGGGACAGTGTAAAAATTCTCCATTTACTCGCAATATATACACGTATCAAGTCATTATGTTGTGCACCTGAAACTAATAGAATGTTGCCTATTGTATAGCAATAAAAATAAATTTAAAAAAAAGCAAAAGGAAAGAAAGAAAAAAAGCAGGTTTTGTGCAAGTTGTTGACTAAACAAAAGAAAATTCTCCTTTTAAGAAAGATCTAAGCCTAGGGGTGTGTTATGTCCTCAGGTCACCAAGCAGCAGACAGTGTCTGGACAATGCCTCTAAAGGTCCAGTGCCAACGGCTGGCTCCCAGCCGGCCTCACCCCTGGCTCTCCAGGCCTCGGGCAGGAGATGGGGTGAACTGGAGAAGGGGCTAGAAGGTAAGCAGGAGCCCCTCCCAGCTGGAAAGCCCTGCTCAGGAGTCTAAGAACAAGCGGAGCATCAAGGCCAATTCCTCCCACCTGCTGGGCTAGACACGGACCAGAGTTCAAAGGAGGCTCGGCTCAGACAGTCAGACGGCAAAGCCAGGAGCCAGCCGGGCACGGCCTGCGTCCATAGTCTCAAGGCAGGGCTGGCAGCTCAGGCTTCTGTCCCTGATCCACACCCGGGAAACATAGCAGCCCCAGGGGAAGCCGAGTGGACAGACAGGCCAGAGGAAGCATGTGGATGCCACTGGCACCGGCCACAGCCCACATCCTGTGGTTCCTCTGTTTCCACATGTATCCAGCCTCCTGGGCCAGAGAGGAGGCTCCAGACATGCTGATCTCCTGCAGGTGCCCAGAGCACATGGTCCACTCACCAATGTCCAGTTGGTTCAGCACTGGCTGGAGCATCTCCTTCCCTGTGTGCGGTGGCCTCGGGCAGAGTTGCTGGCTGCATCTTCCTCACAAAATGCCAGCGGCTCAGGGTGGGTGCCTGTAAATGCCAATTTTTACCCCATCCAGAGGCGAAGCGAGGTCCATCCCCCACGAGGACACGGGGCACAAGGACTGTGTGGCTAAGCCCCCAGGTGGAGCCCACCACAGGGCGTGAGGGACCTGAGGCCCACTTCTCAGCCAGTCCTGCCTCCTGCCTGGGCAGGCGGGGGGACTCAGGGGTCCCGTACCAGCCGTCCCTCAGATCACAGACACCTCATCCTGCTTGGTGAGGAATTGGGGTGTTTAGGGAGATCTCACTTGGCTTTTGATTTGGGATAAGAACACAGGCTAATGTAGAAAGCCCAGGCCACAGCTTAACACCTACAACATGTCTTTAGAAAGACGGGGAGGGTTTTCCAGGAGCAGGAATCTGAGGAGGATCCAGATGCAGAAGGGAGTCGGCCAGGACCCCGGGAGCTGGCGGCACATCCTACCAGGGCCGCCTCAGTTCGGGCCGAGCAGGGGCCCCTGGGAATGTTCTCCTTCGGCCACGCTATGCTCAAGAGTCTGAGGGTAGGAGAGAGTTTCCAGGCTCTGCTTTTATATCCGCTCTTTCTGCAGTCTCTGCTCCGGACTGGACCCAGACTCAAGCATCTGGCAGTTTCCAGGCAGAGCTGTTTGCCAGGACCACAGTGTCACAGAAGCTTGGCCTTGGTGCTGTTCTTGACAGGGGCCCCCCGAGTCCCAAGAGCTTCTCCCCCAAGCAGAGCTCCCCTGACTCTGGGTTGGAGGAGGGTACCCCCAAGCACCCAGTCACCCAGGACAGAAGGCTCCAGGTCCACGGAGGCAGCTTTGTGTGGGGCTGGCCAGGGTGGTGAGGGGCCTCTTAGGTCCCCAGGCCGTGTGCCTGGGCGTGGCGCCCTCGGGCTGGCACTGCCCGCCTGGCCCGTCCCCGGGTGGAGGTAGGGACGGTGGGATCCGAGCAGGGCGTGGGGAGAGGAGGGGGGCCTGAGATTCTCC